CCCCCCCCCCCCCTTAATCTTGAAGATTGTTGTAGTGTATATAGTACGGATGGAAAATGTAATTCGTGATCATTAGCAATCACCAATTAGACAAAGAGGTACGAGTCACAGTTGGAATTAATTATTGTGTTCGATGTTAATATTTATTTATAGAAACATTAGAATTTATATTTTTTTAGTATTGATGTCCCATAAAGTTTCTCGAACTCGTTTTTCACATCATAATGCAACAACAAACTTAAAAGATTTATCCAACAAATTTTCAAAAGTTCAAATCAGTACTAAAAGGTAAATATTGTCTTAGTTTAATCCTATTTCAGTTATTTATTTTTAGTTCTGTTCGACGATTTTCAGCAAAGTCATTTTCTATTGATCAACTGATTGAATCTCTTAAAAATGGAAAATATAAAAGAATTGTTGTTCTTGTTGGAGCAGGTATTTAAACGCCAAGTGGTATACCTGATTTTAGGTATTAATTTCTGAATGTAAATTCTAATAAAATGGACGATCTTTTTTGTTTTTGTATTCAGAACACCAGGTACAGGTTTATATGATAATCTTCAACGTTATAATATTCCATATCCAGAAGCAATATTTGAATTAAATTATTTCTATAGAAATCCAAAACCATTTTTTGATTTAGCAAAAGAACTTTATCCTGGAAAATATTTTCCGAATTTAATTCATTATTTTATTCGTTATTTATATGATCAAAATTTACTTCATCGTGTATATACACAAAATATTGATGGACTTGAACGAAGTATATTAAATTGAAATATATAAAAAAGAAAATCTCAAATTACTATTTCATATTTCTTGTAGTAGCTGGAATTCCACCAGAAAAAATAGTTGAAGCACATGGAAGTTTTATGAGTGCAACTTGTCAACGATGTCGTCAAAAATATGAATGTGAAGATATTCGTCAACAAATATTTGATGATCAAATACCAAAATGTACGAAAACTTCAAAATGTAGCGGCATAATTAAACCAGATATTATTTTCTTTGGCGAAGATCTTCCACGACGATTTCAATTGTACGTACAAGATTTACCTTTGTGTGATTGTTGTATTGTTATGGGTACATCATTAGCTGTTTATCCATTTGCTGATACTGTTGATTCAACAACACGTTCAACCACTCGTCTTTTAATAAATCGACAAATAGTTGGAACGTTTTTATTACCAAGACCTTATGACGTAACATTGATTGGCGATTTAGAAATCAACGTTAAAGAATTTTTAATTAAATTAGATGTGTTTGACAAAGTTATGGAGTTAATGAAACAAGAGAACGAGAAGTTTCAGAATAATAAAAAATATCAAAATCCTATTAAAAGCACAACAACAGTGAATGGTCGATTAAAAGCTGCTGAAACATTTATAGAACAAAAAAGGAAATTTTCAACAATAAATTATTATTGCCAAGAACCTCAAACAATATTTCAATCAAAAGTTTCATTTAATGAAACAACAAAAGCTATAATTGAAAAATATAATGATGCTCTTCTATTTAATCGACGACGATCAAAGTCTACTTTACCAGTTCTTCTATCGAAACAATCATCATCCTCTTCTTCGTCATCATCATCATCATCAAATTCATTGAATCGTTCATTGTCCGAAAGTGAATTAATGCCATATGCTTTTAAACGTCCATCAGACGCTAAAGCAAGATCTGCTCGACAAATCAATCCGACGTCAGTAACAAAAAATGAAAAAAATCCATTACTAAATGCAACTTTAAGAATAGCTTTGTGAAGACTATTTATCTTTTATAATTATTGCCTTCTAATATAAAAAAACGCTAATCATAATTGTGTGAACACAGTAGGGGTTTGGCACAAATCAAATCAAATTAAAAATGATTAACAATTTCTCTCTTAATAAATTTTACCTTATTCGTGCCTAATTGTATGTAATCTCTTCTTCGATGAATGTTTGATTTTCATAATCAAAAATAGCATTTATATTCGATATAAAATGATATTCTAAGTTAAATTTTCAAGTACGAATTCCTTATTTGCGTATTACTAATAACTTTTTTGATTTAAAAGTATATTGCTTAATGTATACTAAATCTTTTAAAGAAATGCATGATTCTAAACATGGGCTCGAAAAGAGAAAATATATAGAAAGCATTATTTAGCAATATAATGAATAACTAGATTCGCTTGGAAACGTAATATTAATGGCACTGCCCAGGTCGCTCTTTACGGTTACTGGTTCTGGCAGAAACATGACAGAAATCGATTCACTTCCAGCATCTTGCCTGTAGGTTCCGGTGTTTTTCCCACAGGAACCTACCTGAAAACACTACGAACATGAAAGCAGTATTCTGGACCGGAAATTATCGTATCGAAAACGTTGCTTTTATGGCCGTATCCGGACACTAGAAATACAAAGAAATCGCACCAGCTTTTGCCGTTTTTTGTCAGCTAACTGGCGGAGGCTAGCTGGATCCTGCCGACTGTCGATCGAAAATGCTCCGAAATTCATTCACTTTTAGTCTACCCGACGAAGATCGATATGAGATTCCTGTAGAAAACTGCGAACTTACAAGATTTTAACACCTTATTTCTATCTTGATCCGCTAGCTTCCTAGTGGGATCAATTTGATTCAAACTAAAATTCGACAGCTCCGGTGCATGAGATTGAACTCTTAAAAGTGTGGAATGTAGGCGAGGGCGCGGTTATTCACGTCACCTCTAAACAGATACACACACACTCACTCAGACCCGCATTCTAACAAACCCGGAGTAACACCCACACCCAACATCATTCAACTTGTGAACCAATGCAGGAAAATCTACCAAGTAATTTCATGCTTATCAAGCCAAAGACAACACCATCAACGATATCACTATCAGCACAAGTAGCGCGGCGTAAACGCCGCTGACCCTCTACTGAAAGGATTTTATTAGATTAGCCAGAGAGGTGGTAAACGATCGTATAATATTTGCGATGTGGACCGAATAACTCTGCTTTAGATTCTCATGCATAG